GTCATCAGTAATAACAAATTCTAAGTACACGTATATCATCACGCATACCTTTAGCACGAACGTGCTCTGGTGATAAGGCGTCTCGAGAACGGTAGTTTCTCTGGCCTCAGAAATGAAAAAACAAAATATGCCGTTTTTTGGTTTGGACGCCTTTGGTGGGGAGTAAAACTCGAGCAGGTAACCGCCGACGGTCTTCACCAACACCATGCGGCCCTTCTCCCAGTTCTTGCCATCTAGATCCCTGCCACACACGTAGTTGACAATGCCCTCGCGAATCACCTCGACAACGGTTTTTGTTGTCGAGAAATTGGTCTTGCTTTTCGAGCGCCGGCTGAGTCCACCGAACGGTTTGTGCGTACCACCATCAAGGTGCAACGCTGAAGCGACGTTGGAAGACGGCGCTTTGCCGAACAACGTCTGCTTCACTCGGCTGCAAGACAGGCGCGACAACAAGTTCTTCTTACGGCTGCTATGTTCCATGATACACGTCGAAGAGGTCCTCCCTGATTCCGAACTGCCACTGTTCATATTTTGCGATACTGCTAGCACCCTAGAAACAAAAATGCGGTTATAACAGGAAGAAACAAGTATAAACCAGAATAATAGTTACACACGAAAAAGTACTGTACCATTTCGGTAGTAATGAAAGACAAAGGAACTGTTTGAAAAAAATAAATCACGTTCAGAAACAGGTTTAGACTGGACATGTGAGTTAAGCCAGATCTTAATGGTGAACTGGTACAGTGCCAGACAGCAGGTGAATCATAGCATTCAAAAAGACTCTGCTTCTGTTGTGCAGTTTCATAAGATAACGACGTAATGCATAAGAGAGAATTTTAAGTCTCTACAACTCAGCAGTGACAGATACACGAAGATGCTCAATATTTTGGGCCCCCATTTTATATTCAACATTTAGGACAAACAAAACCGCCCACTGGAGATCATCAAGGAGAAGTTTGACTCAGTGCAATGAAACTTATCAGATGATCCGGATTACGGCGTTGCCTGCGCCCCTCCCCAATCCTTAATCTCCGAAACATTTCGGACGATGATACTGTTCCCTACAGCGGACAGAAAGTCATGCGACGAGATTTCATTTCACATTTTCTGTTCAGTCGAAATGCAAATACCCTCAAAAACTAACGAGGCGGACCAAAATGCGGACGTGAGGATGCGCTGAATCTAACGATTTACAGTTTATCGGCA